CATAATTATTATATTTACAAATACAAATAACCAAATAGCTAATAAGAAAACATAATTATAAGAAAACATAAATACTAAATTAAATTATATTTTAAATAATAAAATTATATTATTCAATTTTTTTTTTGTTTTAAGTTATTTTAAATCTAAGCTAAATTATTAATACAGACTCGCGCGTAGCGCGAGTATAAAATCTAGTTTAATAAAAATCCCAATGGAAAGCAAGGCTACATGCAAGAGTTGGTTGATGTCTCTCAATGGTTCTTGTTAACTACATACATATTAAATGGGCTTCAAACTAATACGATTGTTTCGGGTGCAAACTAATAGAGTAACTACGAGTACTAAATGGGCCTCCGTTAGCGATAGATATATGGGCTTCAAACTAATACGATTGTTTCGGGTGATGTGGCACAACTGCTCCTCACCGAGCGGTCTGAGAAGTTTACTTTTCACTAGTAAGTAACACGTGTAAAGACGTGGCGATACGTGTCACATCCAAGTTAAAAGAAAAAAGAAAATGTTTGTGGCGGTTTCACTTTCACATCCTCCCAAACTGTTTATTATCAAGATTTGATGATGGATACAACAGAGAGTATGAAGTAAACCGTTACAAAAAATGACGAATCTATTAGCTTTGTGTCTTGTCTTAACCACTTTATTCACGGCGGAGGTATGGTCTCCTAGCCCATCCACGACCACTCAACAAACCGTGGTGACGTCTGAGGAAGACGTCATCGTCAAAGACGGCCATCGCGTTGTGGTTGTTGAGTACGACCGCGACGGTAAAACCAACACCAGAGTCTCCATCTCGCCGCCATCTGCAGATCAAGAAGAACAAAAACAAGAACATGGAAGCACTATCTTTAGAAACGCTAAGGAGAAAGCGAAAGAAACGGCGTCGTATTTTCCAAACGTAGGCCAAGGCATCTCTCAACCGGCTGCGACTGAGGAGGAGGCGCGTGATCATCACCACGCGACGGCTGGGGAAGTCATATGCGACGCGTTTGGTAAGTGTAGGCAGAAGATAGCGAATGTTGTTGGTCGGGCTAAAGACAGAGCCTCTGACACCGGAGAGAATATGTATGATGCCGGAGACGCTGCGGCGGGTAAGGCTTATGATGTGAAGGAGACGGTAGCACGTGGGGCACGTGACGTGGAAGACACGGTTGCTGATAAAGCGGGTTACGCTAAGGAGAGTGTGGCCCATAAAGCTCAAGATGTTAAAGAAAAAGTCACCCAAAAGGCTCATAACGTGAAAGACACCATGGCCCATAAGGCCCATGAGTCGAAGGAGAGGGTGAAAGACGAAGTGAGAGAGAAGGCTCATGAACTGAAGGAGAAGGCTGCTCACAAGTCTCATAACGCGTGGGAGAGAGCTAAGACGGCGGCGCGTGAGTTGGGGACAATAACGGCGAAGGCGATGAGTCCTACTAAGGTAGCGAGCGTGGTGGGGTTGACTGCGATTGCGGCTGCGTTTGGGACTTCCGTGTGGGTCACGTTTGTGTCTAGCTACGTGTTGGCCTCAGTGTTGGGGAGGCAGCAGTTTGGGGTTGTGCAGAGTAAGCTGTATCCTGTTTACTTCAAGGCGACATCTGTCGGAATCTTGGTTGGTTTGCTTGGCCACGTGCTTAGCAGGAGGAGGAAGATACTTACTGATGCCACGGAGATGTGGCAAGGTGTGAACCTTTTGTTTGCCTTCTTTATGATTGAGGCTAATAAGTCATTTGTCGAGCCACGTGCCACCAAGGTATATTTTTGGCTTACTAGTGTTGCAAAAGTCAGTAAAATAGTAACTTAATGTTAGTTTAATGATCATATTTTGTGGATATATAGGCGATGTTTGAGAGGATGAAGGCGGAGAAGGAAGAAGGAAGAGGAGGAGGAGAGAGGACGAGTGAGCAAGAAGTGAGGATGAAACTGGAAAAGCTAAGCGAGAGGCTGAGCAAGCTCAACACGTACTCATCTTGGTTGAATATAATGATGCTCATGTCTCTAGCCTGGCACTTTGTTTATCTCGGCCAGAGACTTGGTGCAGCTTGTTGATGCATATGTCTTTGTTTGTCTCAAGTGTATGTGTATGTCCTGGTTGTAAACCTAACTTCCTTTGTTGTTTTTCTGACGTACTTGTCACGGTGTCATGGTTTTTATGTTGTGTTGTTTAATGTCGTATGTAAATATATCTTGTAATTAGGTAATGCCGTGACTTTGAGTAAGACGTTTTTTTTTTATATTATGAAGTGATTATGAATTTGAGAATACCAATCGATAACAGATATTATGATACAAAAGCACTAAAGAAAATATTATTTGATGTACTCTACCTATCTGAATATAAACGTTTACTTAATGAAATAAGTTGAGAAAAGTACCTCCTATTCTGGTATACTTAAGGTATAGGTAAGAAGTGTTTGTGTGTATAAGGAGATATAGTACCTCTGTATCCAACGGAACTCGCAGCAATGGAAGATATCTTCTGTTGAACCAACCACTTTTGAGGATGTGATTGCTGTACTATCAGAAGTTGCCTTTACAAGGTACATAAGTCTCTGTTTCCCATCTCTATACGCATGGCCGACCCTGAATTTTAGGCACGATTGAAATGTTTGTTTAGTGTTGTGAATTCAGAAACTATCCACATGTTTGGATATTGATGTAACATGTATCATTTTGTGGCAACAAATAGCCTAACGTTTTTGTATAATAAATATGCATGTCACGTACTCACGTCAGTACCTAGTTGGTTGTAAAAGAGCACTAATCAAATGTATTGGTTACTTCATATATATCCTCGAGTGTCCTTCGGAATCGATTGCCTAGCTACTAGACACGTAATGATCTAAGGGAGGTACCAAGAGGACATCTCTATACTAACTTGTGTCGACTGTCGGCAGACGGCCCTGCTAATACTAGGACTAGGGCTATAAGCAAATACACAGTTTTTGGCTTATTAATGTTGATTAATTCTAAAAAAAAATCACTTTTTAGAATAACTAAAATCATCAACTTCTATCTCTCTTAAACAAACCATAACCACTGGTGCAATTGAGAATTATGTCTAATTTCGACTGCTAAATTGATAACTCATTAGCTGCTGTGTTGGAAGCGCAAGCTTGATTAGCTTTCTCCTAGGGTTGGTTCTAAGTGTCGGTACAGCTAAGTCATCAGACTAGACTTCAAGTCGGTACGTGCGCACCATCATCCTTGAGATATTACATATTTATGATGCAGGCTTGTCACCATCTCTCTCCCACCAACAGTTTCAGGGAAAAAACACCCTTGGTTCATTTACTTTCAACGCTGAGCTTGCTAATCTACCATGTTCTCATGTTCTTTTGTTTCTGTCACTCGACCAAAAAGGTGAAACTCTGCTGTAAAGTTAATTTTTTTATAGAGAATAGAATTAACCATTAGCCAAAGAGATAAGAAGCAATATATACATTGCATATTACTAAAAGAGAGAGAAACCTAATAGAATTAACCATTAGCCAAAGAGATAAGAAGCAATATATACATTTATAGTCACTATAAAGGCTCTCTTATCTTATCTAGGGACCCTCGAATTATATTATTACATGTGGAGAATTATAAGTCAGCATAATAGTTAAGATTCAATCATCTCTCTAGCTACGCAGCTAATAAAGAATCAAAGAACGAAACAAAACTATTTTTCTCTCTTTAGTACGTTTACTATTTGCTTTAATAATCACATTCTTGCTTAATCTTAGTTATATTTGTATTATATTTAGTCCCTCTTTGTGTTGTTTCAGTTGTTTGTTAGTTTCTTCTTTGATTTCTATATCACTCCTGAAATGGTGAGATAATGGAATTTGGGATTATTAATAATATGAATAGCCTGATACATGTGACTGATAGTGAAATTACACCACTCGTACACAAAATGACAGGAATTGAACATATGATAGATGTTGGGGTAGAGGTGAAAATAACATTTATGGAAAATAGATATACAAAGATAACACACATGTCACATAGGAAATGAATAAAAGATAAGACTCTCGCGTGAGTATAGGTTCGATCTCTACATCATATTTTTATTGGAATATTTATTGAAAATAAGATATTATTGGAAATTGTTACACATGATATACACGCAAGAGTTTGCATGAGTAGCTTCCTTTCGATTTCTACCTCATACATTTCTTTAGACATACTAATTAAAAACAGTAATACATAGATAGCACAAATATCATAGGAATTGGAAAAACTGCTGAAAGTTTCGAGTGAGTAGCTTTTGATCTCTACATCACACATTTCACTTTAAACGTTCAAATCGGTAGAACTATTTTCTTCGACAGCTAATTTCATCATCTGAAGAGCTTCAACCATGAGATCACAAAGGTGATGAGGGTCTGGAACTACATCAAGATCAACTCCAAGATTGATGATAGCTTTGTTTACATAGCTTGTTATGTGGACAATGAGTGCCTTGTTCAACAAAAAACATATTGTTAGTTCGTCTATATATATAAGGTTTCATTCGTTTCAACACAATGATTAGTTAGACAAAAACCTACCAAAATATCCAAATACTATTTATCATATCTTAATAGATTACCAATTTTGTGTTTCAATAGAAAGTAATAAATTTAGAATTATTTAGACTTGCAAAAGAAATCAATTAAGATATTGGGTGACTCTTACCTGTGGAAAACCAGATATACTCGCGGCAACATAAGATATTTGGTGGTCGAAAAGGCTTATTTCTTCGGTCGGACCAGCCACATTTGACAATATGATTGTTGATCGACCGAAAATTCTCATTGCAAGAGTTCTTAGTGCCTGTTTTTCAACCCCACACGACCAAATGAGTCCATTACAATTCATCATTCACATATATAATTAATATTTTAAATAATTAAAATATGAATGATATATTATCTCACCTTGAATCCGAAAACTTCCACGGTCAGTTTAAGCAACACATAGGAAAATAGAGGCTCCAGGGAGAGTTTTTTTCGATCCATAATAGTTTTGGCTCGTCGGATGTATTCAAATATATCATTTTCAGATCTCATCCATAGTGGGATCATAGCATAACCAATTGAGTTTCCCCATCTTGACGTTGAACGTTTCTCCATCATTTTATCAAGATCCTATATTATATATAAAAAAGTATTAATTTGGGTGATATTTATAAATCAAATATTAATAATTAAGACTGTTTGGGGCATGGTTGATAATTTGCACCTCGATTTTTTTATTTGATCTTAGGTTAAAAAATACAACACCACGAAGGGATATATTTTCTAGAGAATTCTTTAACTTCCAATTTGTTTGAGAATCTGTTTGCAAAAGACCAAGACAAGAAATGTAAGAACTTTAACAAATGTAATTTAACGACAATTATATAAATAAATTGTAGTATTAAAAAAAGAAAAGAAATTACCATATTTTTGACTCAAATATCGTGAAAGACCAGCTTGCACCATTCCAAGAATAACATCATTCACCGTCTAATTAAGAGAACAATTTTTTTAAAGCTCACGTTTGGTCAACTATAAAGCAAAAAGCAAGAGAAAAATTGATATAAAAAGGCATACCATATTCATTGCGTTCTTCACGACTTTCACATCGTCCAAACTAACGATTCTATGAATAAACTTGTTAGGGCTAAGTGTCGCACTTGGTTTCTCCATAAGTGGAGTTGTAGCGTCGCGGACGGAACATAAAATGAGCAGAAATTTGAAAACTTCAACAAAAGTGTTGAACATTAGTCTAATTATGAACCACAAGCGAGCAACCAACGACCACCAAACATTGGTTACTTTGCTCTTCTTTGGAGCAGCAAAAGTGGGTAATGCCTCCGGGTCACTTGTTTTCCGACTACAAGCGAGTAAAAGAGACATAAGTGACATCCCATCACCTAAGGAGTGATGAAATCTCGCCACAAGGAGAGATTCTGCATCTGATGTTTTCATATTGAGTATATGTATCTCCCATAACGGTTTAGACGTATCAATTGGTGAAAAAACCATATTTGATGTATAATCCTCTAGAAATTGATCAGGATTTTCAATCGTGGGATCTATATCCGGAACGACTACATGATCTTCAACTTTTACTTTTGTGGGAATCCATTTTGCTTTGTGTTCACCAAGTCCTCTCTCCTACAAAGTTACATTAAAATATGTTCAAGCTGCGCATAAATAATATTGTAAGAATATATATTAATTCATGTGAACGTGTTAGTTATAGTTACAAGTATGCAAGAGAAGCGTGGATGGTTGAGAAAAGTGTTCTTCAAGCCTTCAATAAAGGCTGATGGATTGGCCTCATTTTTGAATCCGATGGTGACGATGTTGAAACAATCGAGGCCTGGCATGCTGAACAGCCGTGAAAACGGGCTGACTGGCACTTCTCCAATAATCATTTGCTTCTCCTTTGCCATCTTCTTCTTTTGGCTGTTTGTATGAATAATTCCACAAAGTGCAGGGTTGATTTATATACACATCCTAAGCCTCACGTAGCTGTCGATGTTATTTTATTTCAAGGTGTTGAAAAGATCAACACTATGTTTGTAAGTATTAAGCTTTATAAAAACGTTTAAGTTCTCTCGAAATTCGCATTTCATTTACTCATTATTTTGATCATGAATTTTCATAGAAAATGATGTTTTTAAAGTCATTACTAGTTTCTTTTATTTTTAGAGTTTTTTTTACAACGCAAATGTTTTTTTATACAACGAAAATGTTAGATGCATGTAACATGCATCTCACATTAATTATTTTCTTTTGCTTACGGGCTTTCTCTCAAATCTTGGTTATAGAAGATAGTAAGAGCTTTTTTTTTTGTTAACAATAGTTATAATAAAAACACGATTCAGAAAATCAAATCGGTGGAACAAAATCAATTTAGAAATAGATGAATAAGAATTTTGAATACTTTGTTTAAGCTTGTCTGCATATGTCATTGCTTTTGTATATGTTTAATTTTGAGAAAGATCGTTGCGTCTTTGAAATTCATGAATGTAAGAATATGATTTAATTTGCACAATAATAGCATATTAACAACGCATGTATTACATTGTTGTAGTGTGACGGAATCACACTGAAGTCACAGACTCTATAATGATATCGACATGATGATATTTTATTTAGTTATAGAGAGATATTAGTCTATAATGAATAATTGGATAAAAAAATAATTTAAAATAAAAAAATTATACTGTATTATTTTATATAGGCTATATTGTATTGTGGATTGTAACCTTTAATTGTAATGCCAACATTATTTGGCAAGAAATAAAAATCATAATTTCGAATCAGAATGATCTCAACCTTTCCTCTAATAATCAATATTTTGTCAGATCATGATTTTACGTTGAAATAGCATGTTTCACTTATTTTTTTGTTCATTTTCTAGACAACAATTGATCCGAATTAAATTGGTGAACTACTTTTCTTCCGTAACTTAAAGAAAAAGGACGACTGAAACTTCAACAAAATAGGACATTAAATAGTGTGACAATTAATGTGTGCATGTTCATGAACAATGTATCTATATATAGTACTAATTTTTCTTATAATGTTACTACATGCTTTCTATGGTTGATGTAACATGCATCTCACATCCGAGGAGGGGTACACGAGTTTTTACAAATAAAATAAACATCCCTACTAGTCTTACGAACGAATTTTGCAGTAAAGACTCGAACTATAGGTTTTCATCCCAAACTGAATCTTTTCAGAACGATCATGAATTGATTTTTTTTTTTGGTTTTCAAGAAATGACTTTTGTCTTTTGTATTTCAGTTAACATATTTTTTTACCGGAGGTTATGAACCAAACCCTATATACATTCAGGCCAAAAACCTGATTATCTCTCAAACGTAGCCTGAATTCTTGACCCGGGATCCAGAACACCTCTCAATCAACCAAGTATGATACTGAACAATTCAAAAAAAGAAATAAAAATATGATATCGATGCTTGATGGGCATTGAATTCACAATACTTTTCTTCTGCCAAAGTAAGAAAGAAACACGCCTGGAACTCTAACAAAATCATTTAAAATGTGTGTTAACGAACTATTTATGTGCAGTGTTTTGTTTTTGTGTGTGTTTTTTAAATAATGGTACATGTAGGGTTTATATATATTAATTTCTAAAATTGACGCAACATGTCTGATTCTGGAGACTGTAGAAATTACCAGCAAAGTAGGGAAGGGGTTTATTGCCAATAAGAGTGCAATCCGAGAAAACTGAATTACAGATCCTAAGAAACACATTTTTTGGCAAGTCTTTAGGAAACGCCATTAAAGCAACACTCCGTTGGTGATAGATTAATGAATTTTGCACCAATGGAGAAGGGACACCAATAATACTAAATCATACGAAACAAAGAGAATTGACGTTATAATTAGGTTTATATATATAACTTTATAATTAGGTTTATAAAGACAAGGCATAAAATATGTTAGATGGCACCTTCTATATATAATTAAGATTTTTTGTTTTTTTTTTAAATTTAATGTAAAACTGTATTCAGTTAGAAAAGTCTTTTAAAAACCTTTCATCGAAATAAATGTGACTTTGACAAAAACAAAATATAACAAAATAAATGTAGCTTAATGACACTCTGCAAATAGTTTAGTATTTGAGAAACAGAATCGAAATCTATATCTTTTCGAAAGCCACCATGAGCTTATTATTTACATAATAGTATCGCTTTTTATAATCTGAATCCATTAATAAAAATGTACGAAGCCCAACCCCTCTAAAGAGAAATGTTTAACATTTAACAAATCAGCTTTTGCCTAAGAAATTGCTTGAGTTCAAGATATGAATAACAAAAAAGAAACAATGAACAAAAAAAAACTCGATATCTATTAAAACTCATATAATCCATGTGCTACAGAATGAACTCTTGAAAATCTGAATTGATCCAAAACCGCCATGCCTAGTAGAAATTAGGCCGTTTTTATCCGAAAATCCAATCCAATCCAAACTCACAGTTTTTGTTTTGATTAGTCATAGTTGCATCGGTTTTACATGTAACCGGATCTATGGATAATGTTTTTATACAACAATATTAGTTTATATAATTTTCTTATAAATGTACATTGATAATAAAGCGATTCATGTAAAACCTCACATTTACTCACAAGAATAAATTACTTTGACACTGTAAAACCTCACATTTAATCACAAGAATAAATTATTTTGACACTAATTACTACTCCTCCCTCTGTTTTAAAATGTTTTATGTTTTCACATTTTTACATTTATTAAAAATATATCAAATTTTTCGTAATTAATTATTCACTATAACTTTTATCCAATAGAATTTTAAGAATATTGTATATTTTTAAGTTTATAATTTTCCATTAGTGAATACATTAAAAATGTAAAAATTGTATCTTTTGAAACAATTTTTTTCTTAGAACAAGGATCTTTTTGAAACAGAATGAGCAATTAGTTTTCTAATCAACATAATTAGACGGGAAATAGAAAAGACAAGTCAATAAAATTAGACAGAAGTCAACATGTTTAAACTACTAACGCAGAAAACTAGGTGATCACTTCAAGAAGTTTAGATTATGTCTTAATACTTGTTTATCTACTAGGTGATCACTTCAAGAAGTTCAGAATTATGTCTTAATGCTTTGTTATAGATTTATAGTACTGTCTTTATGGGAGATATATATTTTGTTATATTACTGTCTTTAAAATCATATGCTAACTCATCCAAAGAATGTTTAAATAAAATTAAAAAAAAAAATTGATCCAAAGTTGAGAAGTAGACACTGACTTGAGTTGACTACTATATCCAAAGTGGCTACTATATCTTATGTATAAATTCTAATATTAAAATTTTAATCTCTACAATTTAATAACACTCATTTTTTCGTTCTTTTATATAAGATTGTCACTCTTTTCTTCATTTATTTGATTTAATTTTCTTGAAAAACTAATTTTAACGTCAAATTTTTAACAAAAATATATTTTCATATTCTAATTTGATTCTTTTTTTTTTAAATGGGCACAAAACTTTCAGAAAGTTGATACTAACTCTGATAGATGTGTAACATTTTATTCTATTTTATGTCACTCTATACAGAATGTTCAATGCTATTCTATATACTATAACAGTGAGAATTATGTTAAACTCTATCTTATTCTATGTGATGTATTTCTATTAAGATCTTTTCAAATGTGTTTCTTTTTTAAGACTCGAACATGCAGAAATATGTGTGTTTTCTAGTAAAACTGTAAAGGTATTAACTGATGATATGATTTTAAAATAAAAATAATTTAAATTAGGATATCACATGTTTATGCATAGGACTAGACCAAACATTGACATTCATATAAAAAAAGACCAAAACGTATAGAATTGGAAAAATCAAATAATGGAATTTGGGATAGTAATACTAATATATGAAAGCTGATTCGTGGCTGATAGCGAAATTACACCCACTCGTACATAAGAAGTTCGGATAGAAGCAAATTAAACAACTTTAGAAAATAGACTAAAAAGTTATACATAGAAAACACACATATGATAAGACTTTTCTATGAGTAGGTTCCTTTCGATGTCTCCATCAAACAGTTTTTTTTTTGTCGCTAAAAGAGCATAATCAAACATTTCGTTTCAAACCCCCAATTCGGCAGAACTGTTTTCTTCCACAACTGATTTCATCATCTGAAGAGCTTCGACTATGTCATCACAGAGGTGATGAGGGTCTGGAATTACGTCGAGATCAACTCCAAGATTGATGATAACTTTGTTTACATAGCTTGTTAGATGGACAATGAGTGCCTTGTCCAACAAAAATATATTGTTAGCTTTTTCTGCACATATTAGTGTGTAATATGTAAAGAACATGTTGTTAATTTCATCTATATATATGGTTTTATTCTTTTGAACCTAGTGATAACTTAGAAGTTAACAAAACTAAACATCCAAATAATTATGTCATAGCTTAGTTGTCTACCATTTTTGGGTTAAGAATTTTTGTTTTACCATTTTACGATTTGGGTCATAACTGTGGAAAACCAGGAGAGATTCTGCATCTGATGTTTTCATATTGAGTATATGTATCTCCCATAACGGTTTAGACATATCAATTGGTGAAAAAACCATATTTGATGTATAATCCTCTAGAAATTGATCAGGATTTTCAGTTGTGGGATCTATATCCGGAACAACTACATGATCTTCAACTTTTACTTTCGTGGGAATCCATTTTGCTTTGTCTTCATCAATTTCCTACAAAGTTTTACATATACAAATATGTTCAACTCGCGCATACATATCATTGCAAGATTGACTATATATATATATGAACATATGTGTTATATGATTACCAGTATTCTAGAAAAGCGTGGATGGTTGATCAAAGTGTTCTTCAAGCCTTCAATAAAGGCTGATGGACTGGCTTCGTTTTTGAATCCGATGGTGACGATGTTGAAGCAATAGAAGCCTGGCATGCTGAACAGCCGTGAAAACGGGCTGACCGGCACCTCTCCAGCAAGCATTTGCTTCTCACTTGCCATATCTTCTCTTGTTTTGTCTGTTTAAATGAATAATTAACAAAGTGCATGGTTGGTTTATATACACATGCTACGCCTCACGTAGCTATCAATATTATTGTTTCAAGGTGTTGAAAAGATAATTATCCAAATGTAAATAACTGGAAATAATAAAATATTTGAAACTCGCAATATCTAGCTGCATCATAAAACGATTGCTTCATGATGTGATCCATTAGTTTCTAGCACCGATTACTACCTTAATTCACATTTGTAAATTGTATGACTAAAAATTGTAAATTATGTGTTCTTATATTTTACAGTTTACAATCAAATTAAAAAAAAAACAAAAGGAAATAAATGTATTTGTTTTTTTTTGCCAAAATAATGTTGTACCTTTTCCGTCAAATCTTGATTTTACAAGAATAGTGGGAATACTGTGAATTTTAAATTAGAAGTAAATGTCTAACAAAGCAGTATTTGCCAGAGAATTTGCTTGTGAGTTAAGAGAACGAAAAAACCCATCTGTATCCTGAAAGATCCACCCAGGCCCATATTTTTGGACTGGTTCGCTAAGTTATATCGGTGTTGCATACAACCGCCTCTATGTCATGTCTAAATCAGAAGTTAAGAAGTAGACACTGACTTGAGCCGACTTCAATGTCAAGGCTGGTACTATTAGTACACCAAGTCTTTATGGTTTGATGAAACAACACAGGGACTTGGATTGCTGACGATTTTTGTCGTAACTTCGACGCATCCAAATTTTTCTTTAATTCGATGCCATCTTCTCGTGAAGATCTATCTTGTTTCATTTATTTGTTTTGTACGTTTTATTTCTATCAAAGATGATCAATTCTCTCTTTTTTTGTTGTATCCATTAACTCACACAATTTTGAGTTAATGAAATAAAGTGGTGTTCCAAAGAAAAAAACCTAACCTGTATAATAACGAAACATTATAATTTTAGTGATATAGTTTTATCCGATTTTCTTGGTTATGCAGCTTAAAACTCGTAAAACTCAACTGTCAATAAATAAATTAAAAAAAAAATATTTAGGCGTGCACCGCGTCTTGGTGTCAATCTGATGAACAAAAATAAAGAATAACCGGTCAATCTTGTAGACCTTACTTTACTACCAAGAAGTTTATTAAAAACATATGTTATAAGTATAAAATAGTTTACTAATCAAGCAAATTTAGTAGACTGATCGAGAAACAAACCAACAAAAGTGAACTGACAAACAAAACCAACAAAAGTAGACCACCGACAAAAACAATCAGATAGTCAATTTATAGAGTGGCGTTTACCGCCAAAATCCTTTTGTAGAAGAGGCATATATACTTGATACAATTCAAACATAAAACCAAAGCGAAGTGAATCTTTTATTTTTTTTGTCAGCAACAACAAAATGAATCTTGATAAATAAAAGATGCATATCGTAAATTCTTTAATAATTTAATAAAAACAATAACGCGGTTTTTTTATTACTATTAAATAATGTATTGAATGATTGAACATGGTCCAACGACTTTCGATGAAAACAAACAATAAAAAAAGGACGCGTGCTGCACGAGTAACTACTCGATTGTTATCTAGTTCATACCACCATAATGCATATAAAACTATTGCCACATTCTACAGAAACAATACAATAAGCAATTTCATGTATTCTTTTCTTTGATTCTTTAAAATTCAAACAACAATGTCTATCATGGCCAATGACATGGCTAGTTTGTCCTCCGGTGGATGGAGATCTGCTAGACTCATCATCTGTAAGTACAATGTAATCCGAGTTACATCATTTTTCTCTCGCTAAATCTCTTTTTGTTTCTTTGTTTTTTTTTGTAGGTGTAGAAATGGCTGAGCGATTTGCTTACTACGGAATATCGTCGAACCTGATAACGTACTTGACAGGACCTTTGGGTGAGTCAACCGCTGCAGCTGCGGCCAATGTGAACGTTTGGGTTGGAACGTTATCGTTTTTACCGATTCTCTGGGCGTTTGTAGCTGACGCGTTTCTCGGCTGTTACCGTACTATAGTCATTTCATCTTCTATATATATCTTGGTAATATTAACAATAAGTGTTTTTATTACCAGAAGTTTCTTTTTCATTTCCAAATCTCTGATGATTTGATGAAACAACATAGGGACTTGCATTGCTGACGTTTTCAGCCATGATTCCTTCACAATGCGATGATCCGAGCCAACTAGTTTCATGTGCTTCTCAGCTCCAAGTGACTATCTTCTTCTTTTCTCTGTACCTTGTTGCAATAGGACAAGGCGGTTATAAACCGTGTATTAAGGTCTTTGGAGCGGATCAGTTTGATGGAGATGATATAAAAGAGGCAAAAGCCAAGAGTTCTTTCTTCAACTGGCTGATGTTTGGAATCTGTGTTAGCATACTGACCACTCGTTTGGTCTCTAGCTACATTCAAGAGAACCTAAGTTGGTCGTTAGGGTTTGGTATTCCAAGTGTTTCCATGCTACTTGCTTTGCTTCTCTTCCTCCTTGGAACATCCTCTTACCGGTTTGGTACTGAGAATGGAGGAAAGAAAAACCCATTTGCTAGAATCGGTCGTGTTTTCGTGGAGGCAGTAAAGAATACAAGAGAATGCGATTTAGATATCGATAACCCGAACAAGACCTTACTTCTCTTGCCTCACCAGAGTTCCAAGCAATTGAGGTAACATGATTAACATAGATGTCTTGTCTTTAAAATCTTTTAGCCTATGCGTATACCATCTTTCATTATGTTATGAATGCTAGATTGGACTTGTCTGTATGGACCATTTTTATTTTGAGAACTTATGAGGGGTCCAAAATAGACAATGGTCCAAAAATGGTTAATGTTAAAATCTATATTGTAGAAATACATATTATTTTATATGGTTTGGAATGAAAGTTTGACAGTTTCTCTTGGATATTATACAGATTCCTAGACAGAGCAGCAAATGCATGTGATTTGGACGAAATTGAAGACGCAAAGGCAGTACTTAAGCTTGTTCCCATATGGATAACTTGCTTAGTCTACGCCATTGTATATGCGCAATCCCCAACTTTCTTCACAAAGCAAGGAGCCACAATGGACAGGTCAATCTCACCAGGACTCATAGTCCCTGCAGCTACACTCCAATGCGTCACAAGCCTATCAATTATCATCTTCATCCCTCTCTATGACCGTCTACTCATCCCAATCGCAAGATCTTTTACTCAAAACCCATCAGGAATCACAATGCTTCAAAGGATTGGTACAGGCATCGCACTCTCTATTCTTGCTATGGTAGTAGCCGCCTTGGTAGAAACCAAAAGGCTACAAACGGCTCAGGATGACATTTCTATACCGATGAGTGTGTGGTGGTTGGTTCCGCAGTATGTTATATATGGAGTTGGGGACGTGTTTACAATGACAGGTTTACAAGAGTTTTTTTATGACCAAGTCCCTAGTGAGCTTAGGAGCGTTGGTATGGCTCTGAACCTGGGCATATACGGGGCCGGAAACTTCCTAAGCAGCTTCATGATATCAGTTATTGATAGAGTCACAAGCCAGTCTGGCCAAACGAGTTGGTTTGATAACGACTTGAATCAAGCTCATCTAGACTACTTTTACTGGCTACTGGCTTGTCTCAGCTTCATTGGTTTGGCTTGCTACTTGTGGTTCGCCAAGTCGTATGTCTACAACAGACCAAACACCTTCTAAAGCATATTCTTCTCTGTTGAGCCTACTGAACTGAGCTTTCTACATTTACTGAAATGGACTTCAGAGCCAACCAAATTTAGATCTACATACTATATTTTTTTATAACATATATCCTTGATTGTTTGAGTTGGTTTTGGTTTTTATATTTTTAATTTTGATTTTAGTGTATATGTTTGGTTTTCTTAAGCTTGAATTGGTGGTTTTGTTTAGTTTTTAATAAATTTAAGATTACTAAAACAATAACTAGCTAATAACAGTTTATAATAATACCCAAATTACCAATAAAATATGAACATGTTTATTTAAAAATGTGATCAAAATAGTTGACTTTTAAAAAATGAAGTTATCTTTATTGATAAACAAACAAAAACTTTTAGTATGCATTATTTTCATATGCTAAATGAATTATTTTATCAAACCTTAATAATTAGGGATATTTGTTATTTTATCAGTTTGGTTTTTCCTCTTACTATATTGATGTATTTAATATTTTAACTGAGTTAAAACCATCCGAAAATTATTAAGGAAAATCCCAAGAAAATATTGTTTTTTTTTGGTTTTATGTAGAGACGGTTTAGTTTTTCTATTTGGGAAATCTATTTTCTGAATGACTGATGAATAAAATTGTTTTAGGAACTTTTTTTTTTTCAAAAGCCACAAAAAATCAAGGTCTAACAAACCAAGTCATGTGAAATATTAGTATTAAATGATAATGCTCTCTCAAGTAACTTTATAATCAGTTAATATTATTATTAAGCACATGAGCTCAAAATATTTTTATTTAGAACTATATTATACATGAGACGGAATTTTAATAATATTAGAAAATCTGATGATTACTTACAGATAACACAATCGCTAATTTCGATGGGATGGGATACGATACCAGTTAAGATACATGCAGTATTATGAAGAGAATGTAGTATTATTATGAGTTGCCTTTGTACATTATGCTGAATGTTGTACACATGCTCAATGTAAAAAAAAAAAAAAAGTAAACCATTCTCTAGAGAAAGAATATAAAAGTCCCAGTGGCCACATGTTTAATGTACACATTTTTATATATTAAAACTATATTATTTCAACGTTCAATTACTAACAAATCATTAAACTCCAACATCTTGAACCAAGTCTCACATTTAATATATTTTGTGTTACACATTTGAAAGATACTTTGGATCACTAGTCTCTTTTTAAATCATTTCAAATCTCGTTTCTGGATCACTTATATTTGTTTAAATCAACTTGAAATCAATGAAACAAAGCAACTTTCTAATAAATAAATAATAAATAAAATACTTTATAATAAATAAAATCAATAAAACAAAGCGCATAAGCAATAGTACAAAGTTTTGGCACCTTTCCATATACCAAAACAACACAAGAAGCATATATTATTCTTTTAACACACCCTCTAAAGTACAAGCCGATGTTGATCGCCGAAGATGAGCTCGGAAATACTCCTCCTCCGGGAAAGCCAGCCGTCAGAGTCTCCTCTGGAGGATGGAGATCGGCGAGGCTCATCATATGTAAGTAAAGTATGCTCAGTCAAGTCCCTCACACTCACCAACTTCTCATCAGAGGTTTCTTTGTGTGTTTGTAGTTGTAGAAATGGCCGAGCAGTTCGCCTCTTACGGAACATCGTCCAACCTCATAACGTACTTGACAGGACCACTGGGACAGTCAACAGCCGCAGCTGCAGCAAATATCAACGCTTGGAGTGGAATGGAAGCATTTCTTCCACTTCTCTGGAGCTTTGTCGCTGACTCGTTTCTTGGCCGTTTCCGTACCATCATAATCTCATCTTCTTTATACATCTTCGTAAGTATACAATATGATCTCAACCTATAAATCTCTTCTACTATAATCTTGTTTGTTATTGTTTCTTACAAGAAGATGTTACAATCAAGCTTACCATGACTTCCAACTTAAAACTATTGGCATTAAGTAGATTGATACTTAACTATTTATATTTTAGTTAATTATTTCTTCAGGTACCAATGTGTTACATTATTCATTCATTAACAAAACAACAAACAGGGACTTGGGTTGCTGTCTTTTTCAGCCATGATTCCTTCTCACTCCAAAGATTCGAATCAACTCCAAGTGACTCTCTTCTTCATCTCTCTGTATCTTATAGCCATAGGACAAGGAGGTTTTAGCCCTTGTATTAAGGTATTTGGAGCTGATCAATTCGATGGAAATGACCTACAAGAGTTGAAAGCAAAGAGTTCGTTTTTCAACTGGTTGATGTTTGGAAGCTGTGTTAGCATATTGACAACTCGTTTGATCTCTAGCTACATCCAAGAGAATCTAAGCTGGTCCTTAGGATTTGGTATTCCAGGTGCTTTCATGCTACTTGCTCTGCTTCTCTTCCTTCTTGGAACTAACACTTACCGTTTCACTACTGAGAGAAGAGGTAACACAAACCCTTTTGCTAGAATCATTCGTGTTTTTATAGAAGCCGTAAAGAACAGAAGACAACCAGATTTACACATTGCTAACCCGAACGAGACCCTACTTCTCGTGTCTCACCAGAGTTCCAAGCAATTTAGGTAACCTAATTAACAGAGATTCTGATTTTTTTTTTCTTTAGAATCTTGGAGACCACGTTTGTGCTTATACTATTTTAGTTAGGGATATACAAATTGTTTTTTGTTTTTTTTGTTCCTCTTTTTATGGCAGATTCCTTGACAGAGCGGCGGTTTCGTGTGAATTGTCTGAAATTGAAGAAGCAAAAGCAGTGCTTAAGCTTGTTCCCATATGGATAAATTGCTTGGTTTATACCACTGTATGTTCACAAATCCCTACGTTCTTCACAAAGCAAGGATCAACAATGAACAGATCAATCTCACTAGGAATCTTAGTTCCCGCAGCTGCGCTCCAATGCGTCTTAAGCTTAGCAATGGTTGTTTTCATCCCAATCTACGACCGTTTAATCGTCCCAATCGCAAGATCTTTTACTCAAAACCCTTTAGGAATCACAACGCTTCAGAGGATTGGCACAGGCATGTTTCTCTCCAGTATTGGCATGGTGGTAGCCGCTTTGGTCGAGACCAAAAGGCTCCAAACTGCCCAAGATGATGTCACAATAATGATGAGCGTGTGGTGGTTGGTTCCACAGTATGCTATCTTTGGTGTCTCGTATGCGTTCTTAAATATTGGTTTGCAGGAGTTCTTCTACGACCAAGTCCCTAGTGAGCTTAGGAGCGTTGGTATGGCTCTGTACCTAAGCGTATTTGGGGTCGGCAGCTTCCTAAGCAGCTTCATGATATCAGTCATCGACAAAGTCACAAGCCAGCTTTGTCAAACGAGCTGGTTTGATAACGATCTGAACAAGGCTCATTTAGATTACTTCTACTGGCTACTTGCTTGTGTTAGTTCCATTGGTCTAGCCTCCTACTTGTGGTTTGCCAAGTCTTATGTGTACAATTGACCAAACACATTCTAAAAACAACAATTACATGGTTTGAAGCTAATTATGACATAAAAATTACATGATGATTTATATTTTTGCTAAGGTTTTTAGAATATAATAATTAGGTATATAATTATCAAAATGTAAACTCAAATAATATCTCTAAAATTTGTAAATAATAATAACTCATAGATCATCATTAATATAACAATAAATAATATAATAAATTTTAACAGTTTTTAAAATATTATTATTTTTCTTACTAAAAAAACTTCAAAATATTATACAGTTTTTAAAAAATTGTAATTATCTAATTCCAATACTATTAATTTCTCTTTTAATATTTACAAATTTTAGAAACATTATTTAGTTTTACGTTTTGATAATTATATAGCTAACATTTTTTTTTAGTTTTAAGGAATTTGATTTAATATGTATTAACCGAAACAAATAGATAAAAAAATATTTCCAAGTTTATAATTTTAATTATATATACATATATATTATTAAATATAAATTTAAATAAAAATAATTATTTTATCTTAACTTTTATGTATAACTAAATAAAAATTGAACATTAAACACTGAAAACAACTAATAAAGGTCAATTCTCTCAAATAATCATTTTAAGTTTTTTTTTCACCAAAAGAGTCACAAGAAAATAAATGACCAAAATACGTTATTAAAAATAAAAAAACCCCTTCTTCCATCCTTTATTTTACAGATATATAAATATAAATAATTATTCAAATAATAATAAAAATTAAATCATTTTTAGGAAAGCAAAAAATCAAAAAATTGTTTAAAACAAGAACAAAAAGCAAAGGCTAATAAACTAATCATGTCTAATATTACTATTATATGATAATGCTCTATTAATGTAGATTTATAATATAGTTAATTTAAAAAATAACCCTAAAGGTTATGTGAACATTTTGTTCAACTTCATATGTGAACATTTTATGATAGTATTTTAGAAATCTGTAAAATCTGATTTCTTACAAATAACATAATCGAAATTTGGTTGAGTTACTAATAGCAGTAAGAACATTAAATCAAAACTCTGTGATTGTACACATGCTCTATGTACACATCTTTATATTAGATTAATATGATTTTCAATGTTCCATTACAACATATCAGCTGTCACAAAAAAAAAAAAAAACTAACATATCATTATAACTGGAACTAGGTGGACGGCCCGCACGCCTGTGCGGATATTAATATAACTATACATTGCATAAAAATTGATATGAGTGTATACATGTACTGTAACTCTCTTTGTTTTCTACTTAGGTATTCCGTTTTTCCTTGTATATATTTCTATCTTAATCATTTTGTTTTTTTTTCACCCACATATATTATGTCTCTTTTGTATCTCTCTTCCCGTTCTTTTTGTCTGTCACTGTACCTCTTTATCTCACTTACATTCAATCTCTCACTTATTTCACTCTCATATCCATCATGATCATAATCCTCACTCCTCATCATCAGCATCTCTCCCTCTCTCACCTATTTTTTTTGTTTAGCTTTTAACATAAAACTCACAATTGAACTCACAACAAGTTAACTAAAAAAATCATTATTAAATTCTCTCCAATTTTCACACTATCTTATCAAATATTGATTCATTTAACCCAAACTTTCATTAGAAAATAAATATTTTTTAAAAATATTATTATTTTTTAAATTACTCCAGTACACACCTGTTTTAGGTAAATCTGATTTATTGTATTTCAAAACAACATATGATTAACTAATTATATATCCTAAAAATATCTAAATTTTTAAATAGTGTGATGTCCTTAGACATAGATATATCAAGTAACATGTTTCTATTTGTATAAATTTTGTTATAACTTTGTTATCATACATTTTTTAAAAAATATTACACCGCAAAAATACTTATAATTATTTAAAAATAATTGTATTTTAAATTTAATTTACGTTATATTTTGCATTTTAGACATTAATAAATTTAGAACTTATCATTTATATTTATCTTCCTTGCTCAGTTTTTTTTATGTTGTATAACCACCTAAAACTAATTAGTTTACAATTATACTAATACGTAAAAAAATACTTTGGTATACAAATAAAAATGATGTAGAAACAAATATAAAATCACAAAGAATACAACAAAAAGTTTTATTATTATTCACTCATGTTTCTTTATTTATGTCTATTTTCTTATTATAAAAAATTAAACATACCAATTTTATTATACTCAAAGCTATATGGATATAATAACTATAGTCTCGTATTAATATAATTCAACTATAATACCATTTTGTCATTGAAAATGATTGATTTTTTTAATTATATATTTCACTATTTTACATTTATTTGATATATTTTTAGAATATATGTATATAGTGGATATAATTATTATTAGGTTTATATTTATTATTTTATTCACTAAAAATATAACATATTTATATATTTTTTGATCATCATTTTTGTCGGAGAGACTAAGATTTGCAAATATCTGTTTATATTTAAGTAATGTAATGTATGATAATAAATTGCTTCAATGAATAAATTATGTTAATTTGTTTATATTTATGATGTTTGGTCGTTTATTTGGTAAGATAGTTAGATAAGGTAATTATATTATTAGTTTCCTTTTAAAATCTTTAATTAAGTAAATAAAAATTCAAATACCAACAACCAATCAAATTAAGAGAATTAATTCTAAACTTCACCTATGAACGACAACTAAGCAAAAATCACTAAAGTGACTTCTCATTTAATATATAGTAGGATATATGTATATATTTCACTATTTTACATTTATTTGATATATTTTTAGAATATATGTATATAGTGGATATAAATATTATTACGTTTATATTTATTATTTTATTCACTAAAAATATAACATATTTATATATTTTTTTATCATCATTTTTGTCGGAGAGACTAAGATTTGCAAATATCTGTTTATATTTTAATAATGTAATCTATGATAATAAATTGCTTCAATGAATAAATTATGTTAATTTGTTTATATTTAAGATGTTTGGTTGTTTATTTGGTAAGATAGTTAGATAAGGTAATTATATTATTAGTTTCCTTTTAAAATCTTTAATTAAGTAAATAAAAATTCAAATACCAACAACCAATCAAATTAAGAGAATTAATTCTAAATTTCACCTATAAACGACACCTAAGTAAAAATCACTAAAGTGACTTCTCATTTAATATATAGCAGGAAGTAGGATATCTTGAACCAAGTCTCACTTTTAATATATTTTGTGTTACATCCTTTGAAAGCTACGTTGGACCACTAGTCTCTTTATAAATCATTTTAATTAAATATCATCTTGAATTTCTAAACCACTTGAACATACTCCAGCAACTTTATATTATTTACTCAATAAAACATGAGAAAGTGCATATATCATATATGCAATAGTACAAAGTTTTTGGCACCTTGCCATATACAAAAACATATACAAAAACATCACAAGAAGCAAATACTATTCTTTTAACACAGTACCTCTAAACTAAAGCCAATGTTGATCGTCGGAGATGAGCTGGAGAATACTCTTCCTCCGGAGAACTCAGCCGTCAAAGTCTCCTCTGGAGGATGGAAATCAGCGAGGCTCATCATCTGTAAGTAAGCTTAATCGAGTACCTCTTTTTCCAATAAATGTAAAATATATTCAAACAAATACTTTTGCAGATCTAAAACTGTTTGGAAACAAAAATATATACATGATCAGTCCCTAGTAGTTGAGGAATTTATCAATATCTCATCAGAAGTTTATTTTTGTGTCTTGTAGTTGTAGAAATGGCCGAGCAGTTCGCCTTTTACGGGATATCGTCGAACCTCATAATGTACCTAAATGGACCATTGGAACCAAAACTTACCGCTTTACTACTGAACAAGGAGGAAAGAAAAACCCTTTTGCTAGAATCATTCGTGTTTTCATTGAAGCAGTAAAGAACAGAAGACAACAAGATTTACATATAGCTAACCCTAACGAGACCCTCCTTCTCGTTGCCCACCAGAGTTCTATGCAATTCAGGTAACACAATTTACAGAAATTTTTAGCAGAAAAATAAAATAATAATTTACAGAAATTCTTTGACAAACATAATATACAGAAATTCTGTTTTTTTTCTTTAGAATCTTAAGACCACTTGAAATATCTCAACCTATAAATCTTTGGAAAACAGTTAAAAATTATAAGAAAAATAGCGCCAATTTTTATTGAAATTCTGCAATTTTATTAATGAAAATCATGATCCATTTTCTTTAGAAATTAAATTTGACAACCGATTGTTACACTATTAGACCAAGCACACAATATGTTGATGGGCCTCGGATAGAAGAAGAGAAGGTTGGGGTTCAGCCCATGAAGCCCAATGTTCAAAATGTCGTTAACACCGTTACAAGAAACAGAGTTGGCGTGTTGCAGAGGCAGGACCACAACGGTTCTTGTCGTCTTCAGTGTACGGTGAAGACTCGAGTCTTCGGTTGAGTGTGGACCCTTATTGTTAACAGATTTGACTGTCTAGGGGCTGGTGTATGCTAACGTGAACATTAGGGTTTTGTGGTCTCTCTTATGTCATTTTGTATATAAGAAAGCTAAGGTCTTTTGTAAAGTTTTGAGTTGAGAGAAATAAAAGTAAAGTTTCATTCTTCAGATCTCTTAAGTTCTCATGGTATCAGAGCTCCAGTGAGTAGATCCATGGCTGAAGAACAAGATTCTCTTACGTCTCTTACTATCAATCAGTGTGTCACTTTAAAGCTCTCTTCCTCCAACTATCTTTTATGGAAAACACAGTTTGAATCTTTTCTTTCTAGTCAAGCTCTTCTTGGATTCATAAATGGGTCCTCTCCTCGTCCACTCCCAACTGTCACTGTGAGAAATGGCGATGTGGTAACAGAGGAAGCAAACCCTGACTTTGTTAAATGGGTCCGGAAAGATCAGCTTGTTATGGCGTGGTTGTTTGGTTCCCTGACAGAAGAAGCTCTGAGGTCTGTGTATGGTCTTCATTCTGCTCAG